TCTGTGGGAACAGCAAAGAACAGTTTGTTCTGTAAGGAGGAGGTGCAGTGAGTGGGAGTGACATTTGAACTGGACCCTGAAGGATGCCAGCACTCCAGGCAGAGAAAGGATGTGAGCGAAGGCAAAGACGTATGAATTGATGGGAGCTCCAAAGAGTCCAGACTAGCTGGAAGGCAGGAGTGCGTGGCTGAGGGTCACTTGGGGTCAGAGGTAGGGGTTGCCTTGTGCCCTGCCAAGAATTTCAAGTTTGGTTCCACAGGAGGAGGTGCGCCTTTGATCAGAGGGTACTCTAGAGGCAGAACTGTTAGACGAAGGTAAGAACTAGGCAGAGAGAACCCTTAGGACATGAAAATAACCTGAGCAGGGAAGAAAGTAGATGGCGAGATGCTTCAGCTATAGAAACTACTGCTTTATTGTCTTTTTTATTTTCCCTCAGATTTCAGAGGCTTTGAAAAAATTTGGTATCTCAGCAAATGACACTTCGATTCTAATTGTTTACATTGAAGATGGAGAAAAACAAATAGATCAAGAAGACCTAATATCTCAGGTAGAAGGTCATCAAGTTTCTCTGGAAAATCTTCCTGAAATAACAAATATTACAGAAGTCAAAAAGGTTTGTAAATGCACACTTGTAGAATGTGGTAGAGGAGGGATAGTACCAGTGCTGTTGGCTGTTGCTCACCTATGCGTCTAGTTGTTTTTTTAAACCCGAGGATATTTTTCTGTTTATTTTCAGATAGAGTGGGTGGGAGGAGGAGGAGAGAGAGAGAGAGAAAGAGACATCTATGTGAGAGAGACACATCGATTGGTTGCTTCCCACACGACCCTGACCAGGGCTGGGGTCCGAACCGCAACGGAGGTATGTGCCCTTGACTGGAATCGAACTCAAGACTGTCTGGTCCACAGGCCAGCTCTCTACCACGGAACCAAACTGGCCAGGGCTGCTTCTAGTTTTTTTAAATCCTTACTCAAGGATATGTTTATTGATTTTCTTTTTTTTTTTTAGAAAGGGAGGAAGAGAAAGAGAAACATCCATGTGAGAGAGAAACATTGATTGGTTGCCTCCCGTACACACCCTGACTGAGGATTGAACACACAACCTTTTTGTGTACTGGCCAATGCTCCAACCAACGGAGCCACTCAGCCAAGGCGTTTTTTTTACCTTTTAAAAAAGGTAAATATAATTAAAAATTACTTTAAAATAATGACAGATGCAAAGAATTGGAAGGTGCAGGTTTATGTAACTTAGTTGATAAAAGCATTCTCTAATGAAGGAAGAATAGATAACTTTAAATGTCAAGCTTACATAGTACCTTTGTAATATAAAATAAATAAATTTAGTATGAAGCTAGTGGGTAGATGTATACTTTTAAAACTGGTACAGATTTGGTTTCTGTGTTTAGAGAGTTACTACCATAACTGCGATTTAAAGGACACTTTGACATAAGTAATGAATTGCCATCTACTTTTCATATTTTAATCACATTTGTAATTTTATACCATGATCCCAATACTTGAGTGATAAATGACTTCACTTATACATGTTTGTATAATAAAAATTAGTAGTGCATAAATATATTAGCATGTCATAACTTGTCTTTTATTTTTATAGATATATAAATTATCTTCACAAGAAGAAAGTATTGGGACATTATTGGATGGCATTATTTGTAGAATGTCAACAAAAGATGTTTTGTGAAGTGACAGAAATATTAAAAATTTTCAGCATGTATAAAAAATACTGATTTTTCTTTTCTGATTATAAAATTTATATATCTTCATTATAGTAAAATTTAAAGTACAGAATGATATAACAGAGGGGAAAAAAACCTAATCCTACCTGTTAATATTTTAAAAGATAATCACTGTTAGTATTATTTGTTATTTTTTTCTAGTCTTCTATTTCCATTAAAATCTATTTTATTTTTATATAATTGGAATAGGAATTGCAAACATTTATTGGATGTCTACAGGGTACTAGATTTTTGCCTTAGTGGATTTCTATACATGAGCTCATACCCCCCTGCCCTTACTTCTGGATACTCCAGCACCCCCTTGCCAAACCTGGTTCTGTTTTGCCCATGAGAATTAATTTTATTCTCATAACACTTTATGAGATAAATGTTGTTATTACCCCCATTTTACATACGGCCACTAAAAGATCTTGGTGACTTGCCCAAGGTCCTACCACTGGTATAAAATCATGTTTCATAAATGGCTTGAGTTTTTTCTCACTTTGTATTTTGATTGTATGAATCAAAGTCGGGTCAGCAAACCTTTCTATGGTGGGCCAGATAGTAAGTACCGACAGGCTTGCAGGTCGTTGGTCTCTGTAGCATGTACTCAGCCCCTGCTTTGTGGTGCAAGGGCAGCCACAGCCGGTACCCCCACAATGAGCGCGGCTGCTGTCCAGTAAACCTGTGGGCAGAAATGAGTGATGGGTAGGATTTGACCCATCCTGGGTGGTTTGTGGAGTTCTGGCTTAGGTTAGGCTGCAGTTCTGGTCCCTAAAGCTCATTGGCTTCACATGACAGAAGTTTCTTGCCCACTCTTCATGGCCAGCATAAGTCAACAGGAAGGCTTCATCTCATCATGTGCTCCACGGACCCCTGCACAGCTGACAGGACACTGCCGTACCAGGCGGCTCTCAGAGCTTCCACATGGCCGTGACATCGCTTATCTCTGTTTTGCTGATCAAAACCAGTCATGGCCGAGCCAATGTCAAAAGGGGTGAGCACTCTGGCCAGTTTGGCTCAGCGGTAGAGCATTGGCCCACGGACTAATGAGTCTCAGGTTCGATTCTGGTCAGGGACACGTCGGTTGCAGTTTGTCCCTGGCCTAGGTTGGGGTCATGCGGGAGGCAACTAGTCGATGTGTCCCTCTCATGTCGATGTTTCTCTTTCTTCCTCCCACTCACCCTGAAGATAAATAGAAAAATATCCTCAGGTGAGGATTTTAAAAAAGGAGTGGAAGGGTGGAGAAGTGTGATCTTGCCATGTGCTAGCAAGTGGAGAGGTAGGACTACTTCGGGAACAAACCAGGGATTTCCCTCACGCTCATAAAGTGCAGAAGCACATAGCTGAGGTCTTATGTGCACTTCCTAAGCACTCTTGTTTAGTCCTCATTCCAACCCCATGTGATTCAGTGAGGAACCAGGCTTGGTCTGTCAAGTCTACTTCAAAAAGCTTCAAGCATACAAAACAACTGTAGGTACTACAAGGAACACCCATGTGTTGTTTATGTGAATTCACCATTTGTCAATACTTGCTACATTTGGTGTGTGTTAAGTACCTATCTGCACGTCTCCCACAGGTTTTTCTTCTGGACTAGGAAGGTCAGCTGCAGGCCTCCTGGAACTTGCCCTATACTGTTTGTCGTGGCTCTCGTCTAGAACAGTCCTTTAAAAAAATAATGTTGAAAAAATTTTTTTTAATCCTCACCCGAGGACATTTTTGCATTTATCTTCAGATAGAGCTGGAGGGAGGGAGGGAGGAAGAGAGAGAGAAACATCGATGTCAAAGAGACACATCGAGTGGTTGCCACCCACATGACCCCAGCCAGGGCCGGGGACAAACTGCAACTGAGGTACATGCCCTTAGCGGGAACCGAACCCAGGACTCTGGTCTGCGGGCTGCCGCTCTAACTGCTGAGCCAAACCGGCCAGGGCTGTTGTAATTTTTTAAAAGAGTAGTCTTTCAGAATTTCACAATCTGGAATTGTTCATGAGTTGAGTCAGTTCAGATACTTTTGGGAGTGACAGTAGAAAGGTTTTGTGTCCTTCCTGTTGCCTGTCATCAAGAGGCACATGATGTCAGTTGGCCCCGAAGTGGTAATACAAAGGTTGATCACTGGTTCAGGAAGTATATACCCCCACACCTCTTCATTATAAATGTATGATCCCCCTGAACCCCAGAGAGTTGATGCTCCCCCCCACCCGCCAAAGCTCAGAATGCTGTGGTCAGGGTTAAGTTTCAGATCTGGGAGACCCCAGGTGTGCTCCTAAGGACCATCAGACCACCTTTTCCCACACCAACACTCCAACACGTTCATTTTAGCGACGCGTAACATCGCATATGTGGTTCCATTATCACGCATTTGTGCTGCTTTCAAATGTTTGCCCCCCTTTTGCAAGTCAATCTTGGCACATACCTCTCTTTAGGATCGCTTCCCGAAGTGGGATTACTGGGAAGAGGGTGTGCTCTCTGTAAGTGCTTTTACTGCCCCAAAGGTGCCACTGCATCCACAGGGGCGGAGGACAACATGCTGATCTCTGCAGAGCCTTTTAACTGCTAAGCATTTTGGCCCTTTTGAGCTCCTGCACTACTGGGGAAGTTGAATTCGTATGTTTTAGGTTTCATGTTATGCAGAGGGGTTTTACAGGTTTCATTTCTGTAACTACAGAGAGTGTTTTTAGCTCTTTCTAACAGGAAGAAAACAAATCTTGTTCCTGGGAAGGAAGATGTTAACATACTAAGCTCCCCGAGTCCTTTAAAGAGTCGTTTTCAGCTGAGTCAGGAACAGTGTCCTTTACACATTAACCAGGTAGTTCCAGAGCCCAAATGCTCCACCAGCAAAAACAGCTTGTTATTGCAGAACCTTTGGTGTGGGAGGGGAGGAATGCAGTTTGGTAGGCCATGGGATTTGGCTCTTTAGTCAAGGATTACATATTAAAGCAAAAAGCTGGCTGTCTCCCAGGTGCTCTGGAAGGATATGAGGGAGCTGGCTTGGTTACCCAGGTGATCTGTTGCTCCACTTTACCCCAATATTAAACGGAGTCACCTCAGGGAAGGGTCTTTAATCCCCCATCCACTACCCCCCAACACACACTCAAAACTACTGACACTGCTCATTAGCCCTTTGCTTTCTACTTAGGCTGTTGCAGACCCTGCTAACCCCACTTCCCTGCCACCTCTACCCCCACTATTTCCTGGTGTCACAGAGTTGACTGCCTGCCCTGCCACAGCCTTGCATTGCTCCTTGATCCTGGGGTTTATGATGAACATGTGGTCAGAAACCAGCCAATGAGGTGGCCTCCAGGGCCTGGTCCCCACAGGTACAGCAGGCTGTGCCCAGTCCACCTGGATGCCAGTCAGAGGCTGAGGGAGGAGGCCAGGCTGAGGCTACCCTGGACCTTTGAGGCTTTTGTGGTAGCAGGTGAGAGGACATGGGTGGAAGGACGGTGCTCTTTGTGTGGCCTGGGGCCCCAGACCCTCCTCTGGCTCTGAAGGCCAGTTTGGGTGTTTGGCTCTTATGCCGCCTCAGCAGCCTAAACATTTGCAATCGAGGGAAGGAGCCTGTGCTTGGGAACACAGGCTTCCTGCTAAGTACGGACCCTGGAGGAGGGACCATGGGTAGGGGACACATGCTCTGGCTGCTGCACGGTGTCACCTGATGTACCAGGCTGAGAGGAGAGCCAGGAAAGGGAAGAGTGCAGGGGAGGGTGCCCCTGATCAAATGCAAGTCTTTCTGACCCTACACCTTCTCCCAGGACTGTGGCCTACTTCCTCAGGCAGCGGCAGAAAGACTAGCCCTTGATCAGGGGCACTCTGGTTCCTGGGAGGTGGGAGACATGGGGGTTCTCACCTGGTTTCCTCTCTCTTCCCCAGTGCTGCCAGGAAGAGGTGCAGGGACGCCTAGCTCTCTGGTGGACTTTGAGACTTCCATGGCTCCTTATCGCATCCGCAAATACCAGGAGCGTGACCGCCAGCGGGTCTTGGGCTTGTTCTCCCAGGGCATGTTGGAGCATGCCCCCATCACCTTCCGCCATGTCCTGAAGCTGCCACAGACATTTGTGCTCTTGCTTGGGGGGCCCCTTGCCCTGTTCCTGGCCTCTGGCTCCTGGCTCCTGGCCTTCTTGGCTGGCCTCACCCTCCTTGCTGCCCTGAGGTTCCTTGCCAAATGCCCCTGGAGCCAGTATGTGGACCACAGTTTGCGCACAGACATGTGTGACATCACCAAATCCTACTGCAGTGAGCCTGGCTCCTGCTTCTGGGTGGCTGAGTGTGAGGGGCAGGTGGTGGGCACGGTGGGAGCTCTGCCTGTTGAGGACCCCACCCTGCGAAATGAGCAGTTGGAGCTGTTTCGCTTAAGCGTGGCCTCGGAGCACCGGGGCCAGGGGATAGCGAAAGCCCTGGTCAGGACTGTCCTCCAGTTTGCACGCGACCAGGGCTACCGTGAAGTCGTCCTCAGCACCACCATGCTGCAGCACTCTGCCCTGGCCCTCTACCAGCGCATGGGCTTCCAGAAGACCCGCCAGTACTTTGCCGCCAAGACTGGCAGGCTAGTCTGTATCCGTGTATTTCAATTAACCTACCGGCTCCCCTCTGCTTAGGTCTCTCAGGCACCAAGCAGAGACGGGGCCCATGATCCATTTCCTTGTGGATTAGTCAGGACAGGACGGGCTCTGCAGCAGTAACAAGCTAACCCTGAACTCTCATTGTGACAGCACAGTAAAAGCTGCTGTTTGTTAACATCGAATCCCCACGGGGATGGTGGTGGTTCTGCTTCACTCTGTCTTTTTCAGTTGCCATGTTGCATTTATCTAGTGACACAATTTTGCATAAAATCAATCACAATAGAATAATGAACATTTACTTAGCTCAAGTCTGTGGGTCAGCTATGTGGATTAAGCTTGGCTGGGCAGCTCTTTTGGTCTCAACCTTGTTCTCACGTCGTGGGTTGGCTGGTTCACAGGTCGTGGGGTGGCTGGTTCACAGGTCGTGGGGTTGGCTGAAGTGACACGATGACTGGGCTTACTCATATTCCACAGGCTCGCTCAGGCATGGTTTCAAGGTAGTTGCAGGTGAGCCAAAGTAAAGTAGAAACAAGCAAATGCTTTTTGAAGCCTCTGCAGGTCTCACATCCGCAAGATCCCAGACTCAGCAGGTAGAAAGGGACCCGCCTCTTCAGTGAGGAGCTGCAGTCTCCTGGCAAAGGGACTTGGGAGAAGTGTGGGATGAGTCCAGGTGAGAAGGGTTGCGGCCAGGGAGGCCATCAATCTGCTCTGGCCCCAGTTGCTCTGCTGAAGGAGAAGAAGGCAGCCAGCAAGTGACAGAGTGTGGGATGTTGACTCCTAGGCTGGACCTAGAAGTCCTGTGACCAACATCCCATGGGCTGGGACCCACTCACAGGGCCCCAATATGTCTGAAGGGAGGCTGGGAAATCTGTCCTGGAAGAGAAATGGGATTGGCTAGTTCCCCAGATCTGCCACACCTGGGACCCGCCTCTGTCCCCAAATGCCCAGAGACTCAAGATTTTCACGGGTACCTCAGGCTTAACTGCTTCATCCTGTGAGACTCTGATCGCGGTGAGGAGGAGCTGGGACCCAAGGCTGTGTGTGCCTCTCCACGCACCCTTCCAGGCGGCTCATCGCAGCACGGCACCCACACGTCTCGAGCCTCTCACAAGGCCCCCCAACCTAGAGGAGGCTACCTTTCAGAAACTGGCGAGTCCCTGATCACCCAGGAAATCCAGGTACCCTTTCAGGTGTATCCTGTGACGCACAGGCCTGCTACCCTGCAGTGTGCCCTGGGCACAGCCTATCTCCTCTGAGGGGTTAGCCAGGCCACACACCTGGCACGATCCTGCCACCTGGTGTTGCAACAGGCACATTACATCTAAATGGGGACCTGCAACCAAGTATGTAGGGTGGCTGTAACATTCATGTTCTTATTGCCCAAAACCATGGGACTCAACAATGAAATGGCTTTACTGATTCCAGACAGACACCGTCCAGCCCTCCAGGGGCTTCCAGGCCAGAGGCAGCTGAGAGGTCAGGTGAGGGCAGATTCAGTGTCGAAAGTGGGGGGATGAGGCAATTACTGGCAACGTGGTTGGACATCAAAGGGCCCCTGCCCCCTCATTGGTGAGGGCTTCCCAGAGGCCAGGGCTTCTGCTCCTGAAAATCAAAACCAGGAATGAATGTGCCGGTCACCAGCCCCGTCCCTGCACTCGCTGCCCAGCCACACCGAGACGTCCTAGCTCTCAGTGAGCACAGGCTCCCGCCCTGGCCGGGCTGCTCAGGTGGTTGGAAGGTCATCCCCTGCACCAAATGGCTGTGGGTTCAATTCCAGGTCAGGGAACATGCCTGGGTTTCGGGTTTGGTCACTGATTAGAGTATGATTAATGTTTTTCACATCGGGTGAGGAAAATAAATGAATAAATAAATATCTGTTTTGTTTTTGTTTTTGTTTTTTTATCCTCACCGGAGGACATTTTTCCATTTTTTGTTCAGATAGAGTGGGAAGGAGAGAGAGAGAGAGAGAGAGAGAGAGAGAGAGAAGAAACATCAATGAGAAAGGGACACATCGAGTGGTTGCCACCTGCATGACCCAACCAGGGCTGGGACCAAACTGCAACCGAGGTATGTGCCCTTAGCGGGAACTGAACCCGGGTCTCTCCAGACTGTAGGCCGACACTCTAACTGCAGAGCCAAACCAGCCAGGGCAATAGAAGCTCTATTTCTGCGTGAGGCCTTCGCACATGCTGTTCCCGATCTGGAACATTCTCCTTCACCCTCTCCTCTACCCATCCTTTCTTCAGCTCCTCCACTCTTCAGCTGAATCACCAGGATTATTGTGTTGGAACGTTCATTTCGGAGCCAGCAGTTGGTCATGGTGAATGCACTAAGTATCATTTTCAAATAATTTATGTGAAATTCAACTTTAAAAAATGCAAGAGTTAAATGGTTCTAAAACCCCAAAAAGAACACACAAAAGGTTAGAGAAAGCAAAGGTGCTGAGAGGTTTTTACTGGGGGACAGGCTGCTGTGCTAAATCCGCTCTCACCAAGCAAAGTGGGGAGGGAGGTGCCATGTTTCACTCCAAGTCTGCTGATGGGAGAGGCCTTGAGGACACCTGTGTCTCTTTCTGCTGTGGAGCAAGAGCACGACCCTGAGGCATCTGAAAGTCATAGTGGTGCCTATGCGGAAACCGAACCCGGGTCTCTCCGGACCGCAGGCCAATGCTCTAACCGCTGAGCCAAACCGGCCAGGGCTCTCTTATTGATTTTAGAGAGAGAGGAAAGGAGAGTAAGAGACACAGAAACATCGATGAGAGAGAACCTCGATTGGCCGCCTCCTTCATGCCCCCCACTGGGGATTTGGCCCCAACCTGGGCATGTGCCCTGACTGGGAAATCGAACCAGTGACCTCTTGGTGCGTGGGTCAACGCTCAACTACTGAGCCACACCAGCCGGGCAACATTTTAAATATTTTAATATAGGCTTTTAAATCCAAGATACATATATTCTATAAATTTCTTGATGTTTGTAATTTTTCTCGTAAGTTATAATTCCTTTCATTGTATATCATCAATAGTTCTGTGGAAAATAAACATAACATAAAATTTGTCATTTTAACCATTTTAATTGTACAATTCAGTGGTATTAGTACAGTCACATTGTTGTATGGCCATCAACAATATCCCCTCTCCAGAACATTTTCATCATCCGAAACAGAAACTGTACCCATTAAATAACTGTTTCCCTCTCCACCAGCCCCTAATAACTGCTATACCATTTTCTGTCTATGAATTTGCCTTCTCAAGTTACCTCATATAAATGGAACCATTACAATATTTTTCTTTCTGTATTTATTTTTTTGCCTTTCACTCTAAATGACTGTTCTTAACTGTTTATCTCATTGGACTTTCATCTATTTTATTTGCATCTTTAACTAAGTTGTATGATAGTGCTTTTTGCTTTGTCATGCTGACGGCCAGTCCATACGGAAGGCTGACCTTCACCTGCCCTTCAGTTCTCTTTGAAGTTGTATCCTTTAAAATTTTTTTTTACATTTACCTTCAGACAGAGTAGGAGGGAGGGAGAGAAAGAGAGAAACATCGATGTGAGAGAGCCACATTGTTGGTTGCCACCCGTGCAACTCCAACTGGGCCGGGGGCGAATGGCAACCAAGGTACACACTGTTGACCAGAATCAAGCCCGAGACTTTTGGGCTCGCAGGCTGACGCTCTAACCACTGGGCAAAACCGGCCCGGGCTGAAGTTGTCTCCTTAATGCCCTTCAGTAGATCTTCTATCCTCTTCAAAGTTGACTTTCCAAAGAAGTAATCCGTATGACTGAAGACAGATTAAAAATCCTTCTCCCTTTTACAGGCGACATTTCTCTAACCCACACACCGTTGGAAAGCTTTCATCCTGCTGTCAGCCCTGCAGGGGCCCCTTGCTGCCGGCTTCCACTGAGAGGCTCCCTCTAATACCTGTGGACTGGGCTTGCCAGATAAAATACAGGGTGCCTCAATAAATGTGAATTTCACATAAACGATAAGTATTATTTGGTACAAATGTCTTAAATATAGCACAGGACAGACTACACTAAAAAAATGTGTTGATCTAGCCCTGGCCAGGTAGCTTAGTTGGCTAGAGCACTGTCCTGATACACCGAGGTTGCAGGTTCAATCCTTGGTCAGGGCACATACAAGAATCAACCAATAAGTGCATAAATAAGTGGAACAACAAATCGATGTCTCTCTCTCTCTCAAATTAATAAACAATTTGTTGACCTAAAATTCAAATTTAACTGGGAGTCTTTATTTTACTTGCTATATTTTGCAGACCTACTGTGGACACTACCCAGAATACCAAACTCAAATCCAGTCCATAGGTGCCACCTTTCTCCTTGAATGGCTAGGAGTATGGACCATGCTCTTTCCCCTTTGCCTTTCCTCAGGCTCTACAGAAAAATACACCAGACTGGGTTAATCTATGATAATTTATTTCCCGTAGGGCAGGGGCCAGTTCAGAAAGGAATTACCATGCAGGTGCATGATTTCCAGACTTTCACCACTTGGACAGCTTGATATGCATTCCCGGCAGGTGGAGAGACTCAGTGGACCCACACCGGAGAAATCTGAAGGGCGAGCATGGGGCCTTGCTCAGCTATGGCCTTGGGGTTGGCCTGCACTCAGGAGTTTGCTGGGAGAGGGTGCATGAGTGTTTTCTGAACACTAGATTTAGGACATGCACGCACATGCCAGAGGCCAGCATGGAGCCACTTTCAGTCCTGCCCAAGACTGAGTATCCGAGGAGTGACTACTAGAAACCAGGTTTGGGGAGGAGGGAGAGCACCAGCCACAGGAAAACCTGTTGCCTGCATCACAGGAGGTATGGTCCAATATTTCAGGTGAGGGCCTCAGAAGAGCCCATGGAACACTTGAGAGTCAGCTTGAGACAATGGACTGTCAGGCCAGAGAGCATGAAGCCGTGCTGTGGGTCCCAACCTGACCACACAGACATGCAGAGGTGGGACAGGAACCTCCACAACCTGCTGGGGAAGAAGACATGTCAGCTCCCCAGATGATGCATAGTGGGGCTCAGCTGGGGAAGAGAAATTTTAACTCTAAATCAAATTGGTAGTTTTCTTTATTACTTGGGACTGGACACTTCTTCGTATTGAGTGGGGTGGGTTTGCAATAAAAAGTGAGCATTGTATGCCCTGGCTGGTGTAGCACAGTTGGTTGGGTGTCATTCTGTACACCAAAGGGTTTCGGGTTCAATTCCCAGTCAGGGCACATACCCAAGTGGTGGGTTCGATCTCAGGTTGGGGTGTGTGTGGGAGGCAACTGATAAACGTTTCTCTCTCTGAAGATCAATAAAATTAAAAAACAAGCACTGTAGAATGTACAATCATGTAAAGGTGATCAGGATAGTCAAGGGATTCCCTGAGTTCTCATTTTGAGCATAAGGGAAGGAATCCCTCCATAGATTAGGCCTACAAAGAGCACTTAGACACCAAGTTGGGTCCTGATATTTATGGCAGCATTGTTCGTAAGAGCTAGACTTTAACTATGTGTTCAACAAAATGCTTACTGTAGCTTAGAAAATAGTTGATACATATAAAACAATCTTACATAAATTACAATGCATAACAAAATGAATACCCATGAACCAAACTAAAGAACTAAAAACGTGTCACTATTTTTGATAAATATGTCTCTTTCCAATCCCATCAAGAGGTAACCACTATTTTGAGGTGTTTTTTTAAAATCTTTCTGTCCTCCTAGCTTCTTAAAACCATGTGTCCATACATGTCTCTAAGACATATGCTGACCTTGACTTGTTTTTCAACTTTATAATGACAGTGTCATATAATTTTCTTCTGTAATTTGCTTTTTTCTACTCAACACTGTTTCTAAGAATCATCAAGGTTGATGTGTATGGCCGTTCATTAATTTTCTTTTCCGTCTAGTTCCATTGTGTAAATATACCACTTTTCACTTGTCCATTTTCTTGTCAAAGGACAGCTAGGTTGTTTCCAGTTCTGTTGTGAATCTTCCTGGGCTGACAAAGCGTATGCCTCCTTTTCCAGAGTGCATACTTATAACTGTTGGTTGCTGAGTGAATGCAAACTCCAAGTGGCACATACATTTCATTTGATCCATATCCTTTGCAACACTAACTGTAAGACTTAAAAAAATTTGCCAATCCAGTGAGTGAAAAAAGGTATTTTTATTCTGCTAATAACGTGTATTTTTCTAAGTTGAGCAATTTATCATATTTTTACAGGCCAGATGTTCTGTGAAATTGCCTACTCATGTTTTATTTAGTCCTATACATTGCACCTTTTTTTTTTTTTTTTTAAATGGACTCACATTTCTTTATATATTTTGGCTATAAATCCTTTTTATCGGTTACATATGCTGCAATTATCTCCTCCCATTTGTGCCTTCTATTTTTACTGTGCTTATGGTGTTCTTTGATAAACAAAATTTTTATAGTTTATCAGTTGAATTTATCCTTTTTAAAACCATAAGGTTTGTACTTTTTTGTGTGCCTTAAGACTTTTTTATTTGAATTCTTAGAGATACTCTCCTATATTTACTGCTAATGTTTTGGTTTTTGTTTTTCTTTGCATTTTAAAAGTATTTTCTAAATTGAAGTGTAAGATGCATCGGGCAAGAGGTGTAAAAATGAGCCCTGGCTGGTTTGGCTCAGTGGTTTGAGCGTAGGTCCGCAGACCAGGGAGTCCTGGATTCAGTTCCTGCTAAGGGCATGTATCTTGGTTGCAGTTTGTCCCTGGCACCGGTTGGGGTCGTGCAGGTGGCAACCAGGCGATGTGTCTCTCTCACATTGATGTTTCTCTCTCTCTCTCCCTCCCTCTCTCCCCCTCCTGCTCTATCTGAAGATAAATGCAAAAATGTCCTCGGGTGAGGATAAAAAAAAAAAAAAGGTCTAGAATGCATGTATTTTAAGTTCACAGCTTGATGAATTTTACCGAGGTATACAACCATATGAACATCACATTTAGAACTACCCCACCCTCCAAAAGGTTGCTCGATGCCCCTTCTCAGTCTATATCTCATTATTCTATCACCATTTTTAAATAAAAAAAACAACACTTTATTGTGAAGGTATTATAGACGTTCCTCCTTTTTTCCCCCAAATGACACCCTCCTCTCCCACCCCCCTCCACTGCCTTCACCAGGCTGTTGTCTGTGTCCGATGATTATGCATACAAGTTCTCTGGTTTATCTCTTCCCATCCCCTCCTGCCCCGCCCCATTCCCTCTGAGGTTTGTTCTAATGTTTTGCCTTTCACATTCAATTTTTTATTTTATTTTTATCCTCACCCGAGGGCATTTTTGCATTTATCTTTAGATAGAGTGGGAGGGAGAGGAGGAGAAAGAGAGAGAGAGAGAAACATCGATGTGAGAGAGACACCTCGACTGGTTGCCACCCACACGACCCCAACCAGGGCCAGGGACAAACTGCAACCAAAGTACATGCCCTTAGCAGGAACCAAACCCAGGTCTCTCTGGACCGCAGGCTGATGCTCTAACCACTGAACCAAACCAGCCAGGGCCACATTCAATTTTTTAAAGGATTTATCTTTATCAAAATTATATACAAACTTACCTACTTTATTTAAAAAATGTTTTTATTGATTTTTTAGAGAGGAAGGGAGAGACAGAAACATCAGTGTGAGAGATATCCATCTATTGGCTGCCTCCTGCATGGCCCCTACTGGGGATCGAGCCCACAACCCTGGCATGTGCCCTCACTGGGAATCCAAATGGGTCCTCTCAGTCCATGGGACGATGCTCAATCCACTAAGCGACACCGGCTGACCATACCTACCTGTTTGAAAGGGTCAGAGGTCTATGAATTTGTAGTGTGAAGGAGCAGCCCTTACACTTCCCCCACGTGCACTTCTTCCCAACTCTAATGGGCTCCTGAGGCTCCTTCTTGATCATTCGGTTTTGCCACCAGGAGGTGGATGGCATGTCTCCACCAGGCATATGTTTCCTTCCTGTTCCCTAGCTGCCCAAAGTGGTTAGGTTACCATCTGGGGAACATCAGTATTCTATGTTTAAGCTAAGCTACATAGTAAAACATGACTACTTATTCTCTCTTGCAGATTTTTTTTTTTTTTTGTATTCTTTTCCTTGGAACTTTTAATGATCTTTTATCAGTTGTTTAACTTTCTATGTATTTATCACTTATTTAACTCCAAAGTCTATCAGCTGTTTCTATATATTATGACATTCAGGTGCCCCATGTAACCCATCAATTAGATCTCCCTGAATTCTTTCCCACAGCCTTTGGCCTCCAATCTGGACTGATCACACTGTGTGCCAGTCAGCAAATCCACATTGAGTTAGCCAGGTGCCCACAGTGTGCTAGGCCTTGACAAAGGAAAGTGAACAAGGCAGTTATGATTCTTGCTTTCATGGAGCTTACTATCTAATGATAGATTCAGGAAACAATGGGTTTTCTTTCTTATTTTCTGAGGGGTCTGGAATTGATGCCTATTTTTCATTAAGATGGTACCGGGTGTGTGTTTCCTGAGTAGAAGAGAGCTGCTTCCCAGTCTCCTCCCTGGCCCAAGCCCTCTGCCTCCAAGTTAGGGGCCGAAGTGGGAGCTATATGAACGTTACCCCACTTTTCCCCAGTTGAACCCTGTGTGGTGAAATGAAGTTAGAGGAGGCAGTTTTTCTGTCCAGCCCCATTTGCCCCATGGTTAATTGAGGTTCTGGACTTAGATTCTGATGTTATACTGTCTGTGTAAGGAGCAACGGTGAGGCTGGGTGAACACTATGATGAGAATGGGTCAGGAATCCTAGAAATATGTGAATCTGACCATGCCTCCTTGGGTATGTGCTGGACCCAAATCCCAGGCAGAAGTCTAGAAACCTGGGTGGACCTCTGAAGGAGCTCTATTCTCTAAGTCCAGAGCAGAGCTCAGATTTCACCAGAGTAATGGTTCCCATGTCAGAGGAAAAAGAGCAAGGAGGAAAAGAAGAAAGGGAGAATTTACTCCAACGTCTAAGGAGGGTTGGCTTTAGCTACTGGGTTTTTTGGGCCAACTACAGTTCTCTGAAAGACAGGTAGGAGAGGAGCAGATAGGCCTAGAGTTGTAGACCAAGAAAATGAACAGCCCAGCCCTGGCCAGTTTGGCTCAGTGGTTAGAGCACTGGCCTGCGGTCCAGAGAGACCCGGGTTCGGTTCCCACTAAGGGCACGTACCTCGGTTGCAGTTTGTCCCCGGCCCTGGTTGGTTGTACGGGTGGCAACCACTTGATGTGTCCCTTTCACGTCAATGTTTCTCTCTCTTCCTCTCTCTCTCTCCCACTCTATCTGAACAAAAAAATGGAAAAATGTCCTCAGGTGAGGATAAAAAAAAAAAAAAAAAAAGAACAGCCCACATCTATGCACCTTCTGACTGTAATCCCCTTAAACTGTAGCCCAGTCAGATTTGGAAAACAAACCAGCGTTGGAGGAAGTGGAGTTTCCTTAGACCAGGATCTTCCTCTTGGGGAGTGTGGGGGTGGGAGTGGGGAAGCTGTGAGAGGAGCCAAGACTGCCTCCTAGAGGCCAGTAGAGTTAGTTTTGCTATTATCCAGCCCCCACCCCACCCCACCAGAATTCAGGAGTATTTAGTGAGAAACTGGAAAGGGCTTTAAGCAAGGGTTCACAGCCAGTGAAAATACAACTAACAGTGTAGGTTAGCAGCACTCAGCCAAGGAAAAATGTATAGTGAGAACTCTCAGCACCCATCCCCCACGCTGTGCTTTGATTTTGCACCTTAACTTTGTGCATGGGGCAGGTGCCTGGGAAAATGCTGTTATAATGTAAAAGCAGGTCTATATATTTTGTTTAAATGAATTTTCCCCAGAGCACCCTGTGGAAGCATTCCTAAGATGTTTTCTGGCTGGGGCTAGGAGGACTGAGCTGCTGGCTGTCACCTGTGGCTTCCCAGACCCTGAACCTAAATGCTCTGGGAAGGTGCCTGGATGACACAGCCCAGGTGTAGAGAATCGTGCTCAGCATTCCCAAGAAGACTTCATCCTGCCTGTTTCCTTGCGGACTCTGGATTCCAAACAGTTATACTTTCTGTCTGTATTCTGAGTAATAACTTCCCACAACCCATGTATAGTCACAGCATTTGAGAGCTAAAAGGGGGCATAGACATATTAACACTCATTTTACAGGTAAACTGGCCCAAAATGGTTAATTACCTGCCCAGCAAGACAGGGAGGGGCTAGGCATAGTTCTCACACATCACTGTGCTTTTCTCTAAGCCTTCTTCACAGCCTCCTTCTGGGTTAGGAAGGGCTAGCTGGCACCATTTGAAAGCTGTGAGCAGTGCCTGGTGGCAGGGTCAGCTCTCTGACACAGCGTCTCAGGAAGCCTTTTGGGGAGGCAACTGGCCCCTATGGCCCTGCTGGAGCTTCGCTGAACTTAGAATAAGGCTGCTTAGCACCTTCCCTGGTTCTATTTTGGGTCTTAGTTTTAATTCCAGTTTATAAGATTAAGTGCTTATACACATTATACATGTATTAACTCCTGCTTTTCAGATGTGGTTTTCCAGATTATAAACACTGGTTTTGTGTCAGATGATAAGTGGTCTGAGGCTTCAATCCTGCAAGTAAGAAGGCGGGTAGAGGAAATTCACCAAAGGCTAGTGTCCTTTCTTCCTGGCCTACAAAGTCAGCCCTGGGGCCATTGGGATGAAACTAAGGGGAGTTCTAGACCCGAGATGCCTGTCTGCTGGGAGTCTCTGGGTATGCCTGGTGGGTACCCTAACCAGACACCCTCTCTTGCCATGTCCTGCTGTGTTTCTAAAGAAAGGCCGCGTTTCACCCTCACAGCCCATTTCCCTTGACCGATTAATTAATTAATTAATTAATCCTCAGCCGAGGACATTTTTGCATTTATCTTCAGATAGCGTGGGAGGGAGAGAAGGAGGAGGAGAGAGAAACATCGATGTAAGAAACACACACTGACTGGCCACCACCCACACAACCCCAACCAGGGCTAGGGACAAACTGCAACCGAGGTACATGCCCTTAGCGGGAACTGAACCTGGGACTCTCTGGTCCACAGGCCCGTGCTCCAACCACTGGGCAACACCGGCCAGGGCTGACCGATTCTTTTAGAATGAGGCTCTCCACGCACTTCAGGGGAGACTTTGCATAGCCCCCATGCACAGTTCCAGATGGGGAAGAAATGACCTCCTGTGCCTTGTTTTATGATGAGTCAATAAAAAAAATATATATATAAAGAAGTTATTTATTTTCTAAAAGTATAAAAACACACAGAAAAAGGAACTACTAACTCGGGCTAGAATGAAGAGATAAAATTGTGATAACAAACATCCCTGGGGGCAAGGCTACTGTGGAGAAAGTACTGCTCCCAAACCATTGCTAACGTTACCTACCACTCTGCCCCGGGCTCTTCAGAGAGTTACTACTTCTACATTACACACAGAGTTTATTAAACCAGGCTCAAAAAAGGAAGGATTGTGCTTCTTCAGGTCGATAAAATAAAATTCCAAGGCTCTGAAGAAAATAATCTTAAGTCAATCCCAGGGAACTTTTCTCCCCAAGAGTTGATTGGTCACTTTCTGTGGAGGAAAAGACAGGCAGGACAGAAGTTAGCAACTCCTGCGACCAGAGGCAGGCAGGCACTCCTCACCTCATGTCACTGAAGAGACCTACCCAAATCCAGTTTACCTCCCCAGCTCCAGAAACTATGGTAATTACATAAAAATTACTTCCTGTGTTTAGGAAAGACGATCTATATTAATATCTATTATTTCTGTATGGCTACAGGTACCCTATAATCCTGATAGACCAGTGGTTCTCAACCTTCCTAATGCCGCAACCCTTTAATACAGTTCCTCATGTTGTGGCGACCCCCAACCATAAAATTATTTTCGTTGCTACTTCATAACTTTCGTTTGCTACTGTTATGTCTTAGGCGGCCCCTGTGAAAGGGTCGTTCGACCCCCAGATGGGCCGCGACCCACTGTGATAGACTAATCCACCCACCAGTTGACAAACACACAAGCACAGTGAGAGGCCTGGAGGAGGCCACCCACTTGAGTGGCCCAGCCCGAGCTCTGGGGTGTGTTCCAGAAGCAGGTTCCCAATCCCACGTGGGTCTGTTGTGAACTCGTCTTTTAGTTTCTGACTTGCAGAGTCCTCATCGGGTTGTGAAGGAAACCAAGACAGTGAAGGCTGTGGACCTTCAGGCATGGTATAGCCCATTTCGTTTCTCAAGAATGAATTGTTAGCGAGTCCCCTGGCCTGTGAGGTTCTGCAACCTGCAGCACCACTGATCACACTGGAGCTATGGGTAGAAAATGGTGCTGGCTTTGCAACTCTGGCTCCCCAAGCTGACAACTCCAGTTTATTTTAAAAGTTCTTGAGGTATAAAACCACCATCTGGAACTTTGGAATAAAAACTCAACAATTTTACTAGATTTGAACATTTCTACCATAACATACATCTAAACTGACCCCTAAGAATGAATTTGGTTTCATTCCAAATGTATGCCTGGAAGGTGCCTTTTTTAGATGTACTTTTTTTAAAGATTTGAAATCTAGTCATAGGTGCCTTTATCTTCTAAATTTCAGCAGTGGTAAAATGCATCAAGAGCTTAAGTTCACTCCCCAAATGTAGTTAATTCAGACAGGTCAGAAGTATTCCTCTCAGTTTCTCTTCCTTCTGATAAACCTGATCAATCCCACTCCGATAATGACTGACCTTTTTATACAGCTGGGCTCGTAACCGATATGTCTTATATTCCAATCTCCTCTTTTCCTCTTCTCTCTTTTTCTGTACTTCTGGAAGCTGCTCATAAATCCTTAGAAACGACATCAGTGGAAAAACAGAAAGCAGCGAGGTTACCAGACCACAGAGGCACGTGGTGTCTTCTCACCCCTCTCTCTAAGCTCTACGCTCTCAGGACGTCCAGTCCCTCAGACAGGCTGTAGGTCCATTGTGTGCCCACTTCCTGTTAGACACGTGGACGCAAAGAACTCTGGCCTGAGGTGTTTATGAGCAATAAAAACACAATAAAACTCTGCTAATAGTGGTTACTTCTGGGAACGGAGTAGGGTAAAGGATAAAAATACACTGCTTTTCACCCTATATGCCAAAATGTATATTTTCAAGATGAGATAATGAACATATAGTACTATTATATTTTTAAACACAAGGGAAATATTGGGAAGAAAAGGACAATAATGGTCATTTCTCCAAAAGGCTACACAATATTACAGGAAAAGAAGAAACTTATTCTGAGTAAAGTAGGTCAGGGAAGGCAGGAGAAGGGAGCATTGGTAAGTCAAAGCTCCACAGAGAGGAATGCAGGGGCGCAGGTAGGAAGCAGATGAGTGAAGGTGAGGTGGGGTGTGGAGGGTCTCAGACCAATGTGAAAACTTGGGCTCTGTCCCACCAGGAATTGGGTGTCCTGATTTTAAGTAGGAAGGAACATGATCAAACATGCATTTGATACATATACTATAATTGGAAATCATCTAAAGCTCCAATAAAAAACAGGTAAACAGATTATGGAATATAACGGAATTATTACAAAGCATAAAAAGGATGTTTCAGGCCTGGCTGGTGTGGCTCAGTGGTTGAGCATCGACCCATGCACCAAGAGGTCCCCGGTTCGATTCCCAGTCAGGACACATGCCCAGGTTGTGGGCCTGATCCCCAGTGGGGGGCATGCAGGAGGCAGCCAATCGATGTTCTCTCTCATCAGTGTTTCCATCTCTCTCTTCCTCTCCCTCTAAAATCAATAAAGAAAAAAAAAATTAAAAAAAAGAGGTCACTAGTTTGATTCCTTGTCAGGGCACATGCCCACTTTGTTGACTTAATCCCCAGTAGGGGGTGTGCAGGAGGCAGCTGAACCATTGATGTTTCTATCTCTCTCTCCCTCTCCCTGAAATCAATAAAAATATATTTTAAAAAAATGTGACACACACACAAACACACGGATATATTTATAAAAATATATGGAGCCCTGGCCAGTTTGGCTCAGCAGTTTAGAGTGTCAGGCTGAAGACTGAAGAGTCACGGGTTCAATTCTGGTCAAGGGCATGTACCTCAGTTGCAACTAGGTCCCTGGCCCTGGTCGGGTTGTGCAGGAGGCAACCAATTGATGTGTCTCTTATACCAATCTCTCTCTCTCCCTCCCTTCCTCTCACTAAGGCTGAAGATAAATGGGGAAAAAATATCCTTGGGTGAGGATTAAAAAAAAATTTATATATATATATAAATAATATATATAAATAATATACACACACACACACATATATGTATATATATAATGAAATATTATTCAGCAACACAAAAAAGGAAATCCTCCCATTTGCAACAATATGGATGGACCTTGAGAGCAATATGCTAAGTGAAATAAGTCAGAGAAAGACAAAATGTGATCTCACTTATATGTGGAATCTAGAAACAACAGACCCAGAAACAGAGAAAAGAATGATGGTTGCCAGGGGCTGAGGGATGGGGCAATGGGGATATGTTAATCAAAGGGTACAAACTTACCATTATAAGATGAAAAAGTTCCCAGGATCTAATATACAGCAAAGTGGCTATAGTTAACAATAGTGTATCGTATACTTGAAAGTTGTTATGAGAGTAGAGCTTTCATGTTCTCAGCATAATGACAACAAGACGGCAATTACGTGAAGTGAAGGATGTTAACTAACCTTATTGTGGTAAACATTTTAAATATATGTGTGTGTCAAAACATCACATTATATACCTTAACTTAACACAATGTTTTAGGTCAATTCGATATCAGTAAAGCTGAAAAAAAAAGGTCACTATTACAGAAGGGATCACAAAGGCCATTGGAAAAGAAGAGTTATCCCAAGAAGAACATGTGGTATGAAGGGAAAATCTTCTTGGACCAGGAAAGGTTGTAGTCTACGGCTGGAAAGCTGGGAGGCAGACTAATGAGAGTAGCAAGAAATTACATTTTGTAAATGACTCCTTGATAGCAATTATTGCATACTATTGCAGACAAAGACACTACACATTATTGGAAGTGTCTGTCCATCTGCTCATGGTTTGGAGTCAGTTCTCTTTCATCTCTGGTCCAGGATCTGGCACATACATCAATAACTTTTATATACATTAAGTTAGTGAAATGACTTCACTTAAAGGACCTCTTAGAAGAAATGAGTCAAGTTCTCTCTTCTCCAAACCGTTTCTTCTCACTAGAAACCTTTCATATCTTTGATAGAGGTAGGTGATGAGAGAAGATGACAGGTAACAGAGATCCAGAGATCCAAATCTTCCATGTGATACAACTGAAGGAGGACTGGATGGGGAGCCCAATGCTGGGCTCTCCTCCCTACTCTGGCACTGACTTGCTGGGCTACTTCTCTCTTGGTTGTAGTTTGTTAACAATTAAGGGTGACTAGATGGTTTTTAAGATCACATCCAATTCTATGATTCTCAGAAGGAAGTAGATGGCTTCCTTGAAAAGGGGCCATACCAGAAATAAAACTGAATGGAAGCACTCTAATGAAAATGTTATCAGCTTAAAATCTGAGTCTCTTCCCAGAGATGGATACTCAATCCACTTCTACAACTTTTATGTTTTGAAGCACTAGCATCTCTTCCCATAGGCAAGAGGTGAGAGTGTAATTAGCTGCCACACAACGACCACTGTGTAATTTCCCCTAATTAAATTCTGTGACAGAATAAGCGATGGTTTTCAAATTTGGGGGACTAAGGAAGGACCCCTTTATACTCTTAAAACTTGAGGCCAATTTTGGTCAATGTGGATTTTATCTATTGATATTTACTATATTGGAAATTAAAACTAAATGTTTTAAAAGTACTTATTTCTTAATTCATTTAAAAATAAAAATAATTAGCTTGTTACATGCTAAAACTAATAAATGTTTTCTAAAACTAAAATATTTAATAAGAGTGATACTATTTTATATATTTTACACATCTCTTTTAATGTCTGGTTTAATAAAAGACAGCTCGATTCTTACATCTGCTTCTGTATTAAGTCTGTTGTTATATATTGTTCTGGTTAAAGGACACATTTTTTAAAAATCCAGTTTACACACATGTGTAGTTAGACAAGAAAGGAGTATTTTAACACTTTTCAGATAATTGTTGATTTTCTTGATACTACACCAAAACTTGACAAGTGGTAGTTTCTTAAAATTTAGTTGCAATGTGGAATTTGAAACCATATTAATAAACTTTTGTACTCTTACATGAACAGAGGATATCAGTCTATCTTGCACTTTGAATGTATTGTCTATCCGTGCCTGATTTTGTAACACAATGCAACAGCCATTGGAAAAATCCTGGTCCAGTGACTTATGCAGAGCTTCCAAATGCTGACATATTTACTTAAATAATAACATCTTATTTGTTAGTCACTGTTGATATCATCAGAAAAGTTTTAGTACTAGGAGATAGTCAGCTTATAGTGGTGGACCAAATTTTCTAGAATTCTATTCTTTGCTTGAAAGCTCAAATTTTCTCTTTGGCAGTAAATACTATCAGCTGTTTTCTTTGAAGTGACAGACTCACTTCTTCATTTTCAGGAAAAAGTCTGTCATGCACCCAAGTTGGAATAATCAGTTTATCTGTCACTCATTCAAGTAAAAGCTGTGTTCTATGAGAAAGGCAACTACTTCAGCTCGCTCTACAAACCTTGGGGTAAGTGCTCTTCCTGGAACCAGTCATCGATCTTGTATGCAGCAAGTACTCTGCGTGTACTGCCCTTCCACTGCTAGTATATGGCTGTAAATACAGGGCCTTCTAGACCAGCACAGTTTGGTGCCAGTCTCAAATAGTGTAAGGCACCAGCAGTTTTATTCCTCTCCCATTACTTTTGCATCATCAGTGCAAATGTCAACACAGTGAAAAAGGCACGTAACATCTTACTACTATTTTGAGATTCATTTTGACCTGGCAAATCCCCTGAAAGGGCCTCAGCAACTTCCAGAGGTCCACAACCACATTTCAAGAATGCTTGATTAAAGCATCCCTTTGAATTACCTATCAGGAAAGGGTTTACTAAATGGAGAATAAAAACAAAATTAGAGATGAATGCTTTAATCACCTAAGATAAACTGTTTTCAAGCATTATGCTGACTATAAAACTGTTCTTATTTAAGAGGTAGCTGATGAACCCCAAAAGGTAACTCTGTACTTAGTTATGCCATGGCATTCATATGATCAATATATACAGATCTCTAATTAATGAATAGCTAACGCATGCAATGGCACAACATTCAAAAAGTATAAAAAGACAAAAAATTAGTTTCTCTCCTACCTCTGTACTCCACACTTTTCCCCAAAGGCAACCACTATTATAAGTTTTTTGGGTATCCTTCCAGAGATAATCTATGCATATAAAGTATTTGCATCTATAGAAGTACAAATCCCTCTTTTTAAAGACTATAAAAAAGCAGGGTACATATGCTTCTGAAACCTGATTTTTTTAAAGCTTAACTTAATGAAGTCTTGGAGAGAACTCCATTATTTCTCACTGTATTGACCAAATTCCTAGAAATAAGATGGCTTAGATAAAGGGAAAGGCCCTGAATAAATATGTACATCAAAATATTCTTTATTTATATTTAGGTTTCTAATAAAGATGAACCTGACTAGGACACACACATTAGTGGGGATTCTTTGTATCTTCTGTAGATGAGTCATTTATACCATGATCTGCTACCTATTTGTCTTCTCTTTTGTTAATGCCGTAAGTAAAAAACTACTTTCACAACTAATTTTCTTATAATGTTTTAGCTTGAGCAGAATGCCTTTATCACAGGGGGCAAGCCAGAGCTCTTGACCACTTGCTGGCTTGATTTGTACTTTTCTAGTTATTCTTATTCTTCTGGCCTTACCGTTTAGACCTCTGAATCATTTCTTTCTTTCCAACAGGCTTGTACTTCTGGGCAGCCAGGAAACCTAAGTAAAAGAAGAAGTTTTCAGTGAATAATATGCAAGAGCTGTGTGAGAGAGCTGCTAGGACGTTGTAGCCCTACTATGAGCTGACAGTGCGAGGTAGTCACCGATGGCCAAGGCCAAGGCCAAGGTTAAACTATGATGGCTGTGACAGCAGCCTAAGTCTCCTAAAGACACAACACTCTGTGGCACAGACTAGACTGTGAATTGAAACAATGCCTAGTTTATAGGTAATGTGATGAAAGTGTTAGGTAGTACTTAATAGTTTTCACAGCTTTCATATATTATTTTACTGATCTTACACTTAGCATAATTGTGAAGAGCACTGACTCTGGAGCCAGCCCACCTGGGTTCAAATCCCAGCTTAGCAGGTACTTAATCTCTGTTTGCCTTAGTTTTCTCATCTCTAAAATAGGGATATTAATAGTACCTACCTCAAGAGGTGTTGTAGGCGTTAAATGCGAACAATATCTGGGTAAAACATAAGGACTACATAACTATTATTATTATTTTTATTACTACCACTACCACAATTTTTTTTTTTTGGTATATCTTCACCTGAGGATATTTTTCCATTGCATTTTTGATAGAGTGGAAAGGAGGGAGGGAGGGAGGGGGGAGGAGAGAGAGAGAGAGAGAGAGAGAGAGAGAGAGACATTGATGTGAGAGAGACACATCAATTGGCTGCCTCCCGGACAACCCCAACTGGGTCAGGGGATGGAACCTGCAACCCAGATATGTGCCCTTGACCGGGAATCAAATGCTCAATCCTTTGGTCCACGGGTTGACACTCTAACCACTGAGCCAAACCGGCCAGGGCCCACTACTACTATTACTACTACAACTATTATTATGATTGCCACCCTATGAAGTAGACAAGCCTGGAATCAGCCCCATCTTTAACAAAAACATACTACTACTTTTGGAACTAACTTGGTCACAGACACAGAGCTTACTTATAAAAACACCATTCTAGCTGCACACTCTCACTTTTAAGATGCAATGACAGGACAAGAGTAACTGGGCTTATTTGGATCATGTAAGTACTAAGAGCTAAACTGGGAAGGTTCTGCTACCTAAGATGTAAGTCTCAGCAAGCAAAAAGTCACTGTGTCTCCAAGTAACTGGCCTGGTGTTGAGCAGTGCTCCCTAGCAAGAAGTAGACTTTGCCCGGCTAGTGTGGCTCAGTGGATTGAGTGTTGGCCCATGAACTGAGAGGTCCTGGTTCGATTCCCAGTCAGGGCACATACCCAGGTTGCAGGCTCAATCTCCAGTGTGGGGTGTGCAGGAGGCAGCTGATTGATATCTCTCACATCGATGTTTCTACCACTCTCTCCCTTCCCCTCTCTCTAAAATATTAATAAAAATATATTTCAAAAAAATGTAGACCTGGACCTCTCTACCCAGGAACAGGAAAGTGAATAGTGTACCTCTCTTTGGGAGCGGGCACATGGGGTCCCGGTGGCCCTGGCATTCTCTCACAGTGTTGAACAGTGCCTCCCGCTCACTCTGTAACACATTCTGCAGCTTCCTCTCCTGGACTATTAACTTTAGGCGTTTTATTCGCTCCCCAGAGCGGGAGATGAAGTCAGGTCTGTGAAGCTGAAGTGATTCCTGAGGAGGAGAAAAAGCCCCCATCCTCACATTAATGATGTAGTCTGCTCTCCAAGGGCCTAGAAAACAGTACCTGACCAACAGATTTATTTTATTATTATTATTTTTTAACCTCACCCAAGGACATTTTTGCATTTATCTTCAGATAGAGCAAAAGGGAGAGAAGGAGGAAGAAAGAGAGAGAGAACATTGATGTGAGAGAGGCATATTGAGTGGCTGCCACCCACACAACCCCAACTGGGACCAGGACAAACTGCAACCGAGGTATGTGCCCTTAAGCGGGAACCAACCCGGGTCTCTCTGGTCTGCGGGCCAACGCTGTAACCACTGAGAGAAACCGGCCAGGGCCTGACCAACAGATTTAAAGAGCCTGTTTCTAAAGATATTTCCTATTCTCTAGAAAGTATCTCAAGTTGAAGAATAATCAAACAACTCCCTATGAGGAAGAGCTAAAGAGGGAAATCAGGGGGATCAAAGAAATGCCTTTAGAATAAGCCAAGAAGTAAGACTCTGGCAATTACAACTCTCTCAAAGAGGTCAGAGCTTGGCACATTGTGCTACCTTAAATTTCCCTTCAAACAAATACAGGGTGGGGCAAAAGTAGGCTTACGGTTGTTCCAATGGAAAATAATACAATAATTAATAAATAACAATACAAGAATAAACTGTTTCGCATACTCACAACTGTAAACCTACTTCATGTGTGTTTGTGTGTGTGTGTGTGTGTGTGTGTGAATCCTCACCTGAGGATATTTTTTCCATTGATTTTTAGCGTGAGTGAAAGGGAAGGAGGGAGGGAGGAAGAGAGAGCTAGAAACAGTGATGTGAGAGACACACACTGATTTGTTCCCTCCTCAAAATGCCCCGACCAGGGCTGCGGATCAAACTTACAAACCAGGTACATGCCCTTGACTGGAAATTGAAATTGTGACCCTTCAGCGCGAGGGCCGATGCTCTGACCACTGAACCACACTGGCTGGGGCTGTATACCTATTTTTGCTCCATCCTGTACATCATTAAATAATATTTCCTTAAGCTCCCAAGGGACATATAAAGAGACCTGGAGTCTTTTAAATCCTGTGTTAAACAGGAATACGTGTTATGGAAAAACACATATTAGGCTGATTGATGCAAACATGAGGCCTCCCAAGCACATGCAGGTGTGTACAAACCCAATGAATAGTGTCACAACATCCTCCCTTCTACTGCCTTGTCCCCAGCTACCGAGGGTGATGCATGATTTAAAATGGTTAACAGAGCCCTGGCTGGTTTGGCTCAGCAGTTAGAGCGTTGGCCTGTAAACCAAAAAGTCCTGGGTTCGATTCCAGCCAAGGGCACTTACCTCGGTTGCAATTTGTCCATGGCCCTGGTTGGGGTCGTGCAGGTGGCAACCAGTTGATGTGTCTTTTTCACATCGATGTTTCTCTCCCTCCCACTCTGACTGAAGATAAATGTAAAAATATCCTTAAGTAAGGATTTAAAAAAAAAGGTTAATAGAGTAAGGCAACCTTTGATTAACAATGAGAGTGAGAACAGTAAACGAGGAGGAGCTAGAAATGAGGGCCACAGGACTGTACTTCTAAAGGCCAAGTTACAGATTTAACTCTTGTATCTCACCCCGCCTCCCCCAAACATAGGGCTGAAATGAACTCAATGCCATTGTACCTGTAAGGTTGCTTTCACCAATGGTTTCAGTGGACTTCTGCCTGGGCCTGCTAGTGACCCGTGGCTGCCCATGTGCTGACCCTGCCAGTTCTGTTCCCGTAGTGGTTCCCTCCAGGGTTTGGTGTTGGTTACTGGTGCAAACCAGGAGACACCAGGTCCACGATGCTTGAGCAGGTTTTCCTTCTTCGGATCAGACTTCACATGTTCCACAGGAACAAACCATGAAACTAATATAGGAAATATTTTTTTTTTATCCTCACCCGAGGACATTTTTCCATTTTTTGTTCAGATACAGCGGGAGGGAGAGAGAGGAAGAGAGAGAGAGAGAAACATCGATGTGAAGGGACACATCGAGTGGCTGCCACCCGCACGACCAACAGGGCCGGGGACAAACTGCAACCGAGGTACGTGCCCTTAGCGGGAACCGAACCCGGGTCTCTTTGTACCGCAGGCCGACGCTCCAACCGCTGAGCCAAACCGGCCAGGGCAGGAAATATTTTTAATAAAAAGGATTTTTCATTTTTTTCATCAGAGACATGCATAATATAGGCTCTCAACATACTCAGCTGTGAGAGGCCATCACTGATGCCCAGGAGTCTGCTCAACTGCAAAGGTGACTCTGCAATTGTAATCCTAGATATTTTTAAAGTTTGTTTTTCTTGCCACAATGGTGCTGGGGGTGGAGATGGGGTCCATAGAGTCATTTAGAAAAAAGAATTTAAGCATTGCAAGAGATTTAAAATTCACTAATTTTTCTGCTACAAAACCGGAATTAGAAACTGACCTTCATAGCAACTCTGCTTGTTCTTCCTTAATTTTTTGTCCCCAAGATAACTGGTAAGGCGTCTTTTTTCTTCTACTTTTTCTTCTGACCAAGAAGTCACATCACTGTCCTCTTCCACTCTAGCCTCACTAGAACTTGGAGTTGGGAAAATCACCCCAACATCTCGAGTGTGTTTTTTGACACCATTCACAATCTCCAAGTTACCTGAGGGAAAAGATCATAGATGTCTCTAGGAGCAGCCTGGAGATTTAGTTGGCAGGTGGTACATTTAAATCAGTAAATAAAAAGCTTTTAAGGCTTCTAAAACACAGGCTATGGCCTTTGCTGGGTGGGCTGGGGGTATGTGGTGGAGAGAGAAGGGAGGAAACGTGGTTGAGGGACAGGGATGTAGGGAGGGAGGGAGGGAGAGAGAAGAGGAGAAGGAGAGAGAGGGGAATTGTGGGGGACAAGGGAGAAAAGAGAGAGAAGGGAGAGGGGTGAAAAAGAGGGTTTTTATCTCTAAGTCAATTTAGATATTAGATGCAAAGAACTACTAACATAGATTCAGCGGGTAAAGGATATTAGTTCTGATCCCAAGTGAGAAAGACAATACATGCTTTTGTTTTTTTTTAATCCTCACCCGAGGACATTTTTCCATTTTTTGCACAGATAGAGTGGGAGGGAGAGAGAGGAAGAGAGAGAGAGGGAAACATCGATGTGAAAGGGACACATCGAGTGGCTGCCAGCCACACGACCAACCAGGGCCGGGGACAAACTGCAACCGAGGTACATGCCCTTAGCGGGAACTGAACCCGGGTCTCTCCGGACCGCAGGCGGATGCTCTAACCGCTGAGCCAAACCGGCCAGGGCAATACATGCTTTTAATCCACCCAGGTAAGGAAGAGGTTGACCAATGTAAAGATAAAATTTGAAGGGGAAAAAAAAATCAAGGCGGATGTTTATTTTTATTTTATACAATGAAAAGATATAGAAAGGCATAAAATGAAAAGTCTCTTTCCCACTGCTGTTCTCCACTCACTCAGTTTATAACCCCATGATTCCAGAGAAATTTTCTCTGCACATTCAAGTAGTTCTCTTTATTTTTTAAATACATGTAGTAGCATGCTATATACTGTTCTGTACTTTGCCTTTTCTTTCTATTTACATGTCTTGGAGATCTTGCCATATTGGTAGAGAGAGACCTTTGTCATCCTAAGTAGAATTTCATTATACAGATGTACAGTAATATATTTAACTATTTGGCTTGATGGACATCTAAATTGAATTTTATTTTCTGCTATAATAAAGAATATTTTGATTAACTGTGGTCCATTCTACATACTTGTCATTTTACACATATGCACAGTATTCTATAGGCTAAATTCCAAAAGTAAAAGTAATTTTAATAGAAACTGCCAAATTGCCTGTCATTGGGGTTGTACTTCCAACTTATTTTCCTACTATAATGTAATGAGAGTACCTATTTCCTGACACTCTTGCCCACACACTTGCTATCAAGTTTAGATTTTTGCCAACTGATGAGTGAATAATGACATTTGAGTATAGTGTTAGTCTTCATTTAGTATCATGCTGAGTATCTTATCATGTTTAAGAGCTACTTATATTTTGATGGAAAGAAATGTTTAAATTCAAGTAATTTACCTGCTTGCACACCCTTGTTTAACATATGTACACTTTGCTTGTTGCAAAGGGTAGAGCTCGAGCTCCAGAAACTACTGGCAGAAGATGAAATAGAGTCAGAAGAAATCATATGGTTTACCACCTAGAAAAAAACAAAAGACCCTGTTATCATTACCTGCTGTCAATGGCACAATTACCCACAGAATAAGAACATACAAAGTTACCAAGGAGAGACCTTTCTTATCCAATTCAAATTTGTGGAGATGAAGTTGCCAGGAAGCTTGTGATAATGTGAACCTGCTACCACATGCTTATGACAGGGAGAAGAATGCTGTTGTAGTTGAATAAGGGCCTGAGTTGTTTCCTGAAGGTATGACAAAAAACTTGATATATTTCTAGGACTTGGAAAAAACTGAAGGTGCTAGCCAAAAATTAGCCTGGTCAGTTTTCAGAATAAATTCTGACTTGACACCTGCATAAATTCTGATGAGAGACAGAGAGCTGGGGATAATTAAAGAGAGCGATAAGCTGCAGAGTGCTTTCTAATAAGACCAGACTTACACCGGATAAATGCCACAGAGCTGAAAGGCCCCCTGAGGAGTCCTGAATGAGTACTGCAAAAAGCATTAAAAAGCCCAAAAGGCCTTTTTAGTTATGTTCAGAGCAAGGAGAGCAATGAAGGTTAGGAAAATTCATGGATTTAAGTTGATAGTGGAATATTAGTGGGTGACAAAAAAAAAAATCACCAAACTATAGTTGAACAAGTATAGTATAAAATGGTATTTCTTAAACTTGTGTATTGTAACAATCCCCTGGGGGAGGGGCCCTGACCCAGAACAATGAGTTGGAATCTCATAGGGAGGGAATATGAACATCTGCATTTTGAATAAATGCCAGGAGGTGTTTATCTCCTTAAGCAAGTTTGGTAAAGGTAAAATGAAGACCAAGTCAGGAAAGGAAACTGAAGGTACCTGCTCCCAGGAACTAGATAAACTAAACTGCATTCCAGGGACTTCAGGAAACTTGGCAACAGAATCCTGTTGGAAGGCAGCTATGATAGATGTCTGGGGACAGAAAATGTTTTAATTTTCAAAAAAATATGCATTGCAAGCTGGTGGGTTTAACACTAATGACCTGAAATATTTTAGAGTGAATCACCAATCTGATCATTTGAAGTTTTGGGGGGAGGGGGGTCAAAGAAAAGATGAGCAAAGTTCAGCTAGGGCTCAGTAAGGCAGGCAGAACAAGCCTTGCCAGCTCGGCCCTGTTTTCCTAGTACACATGGTCACTAACTGGTAGACCAAAAGAATGTGTAGTAGAGTACCTGAGTTGAATAAAACGACAAAAATTCTCATGACATCTTTGAGAGCAAGATGGAATGGTATGGGTTTAATGATAATATAAGTCGGTAGAATCATAATTAGTTGAAACACTCTTACCCAAATATTATCAACATAGTGATATATCTTACATTAAAAAAAAAGTATTTACTAAGCACTTACTGTGTGCCAGTCACTTTGTTAGTCCCTTCTTAACCTTTTATATATCAATGTCTTAGAGATATAGAAAGCAGATTTCCCCTACAATGCACACCTGGGAGAGCCTAAATGGCTGTCATAATCCCAAATAATAATAGGAATGATAGGCCAAATAAAACAAGGGATAATTGTAAAGCCCCACACATGAGGCAGGAGGAATGGAAGAAACTTTGATGCAGTAGACACATTTCTGGGTGTGGAGTCCAAGACCTAAGCCAGTCTCAGATCTTCCCTTTACTAACAGTTTCTACTTGAGTAAGCTATGACCTCTCTATGCCAGCTTCCCATCTAGAAAGGGCTCACCTACATTTCTGAAATTACAGAAGTACTGGGTGGTGAGGAAGATGTGACTGACCAACAATACACTACACCTTTTCTGTGTAAAAGAAAAAAAGGAGGAGGAGGAGGACAAGGAGGAGAAAAAGCACTTTAGGTACTGAAACAGACTGACTTTCTAGATAGATTTTAAGTACAAAAAGCAAAGTATGTTGCCATTTTCGTGAAAAGGGGTATAAAACATATGCAGGTATTTGCTTTTTAATATATAAAATACCTGTGAAATAAAAGAACCCAGGTTGGAAAGGGAGAGGTAAAACTGTTTTTATTTGTAGATCATGATCCTATCTGTAGAAAACATGAAGAAATCCATAAAGAGCTACTAGAACTAAAATAAGTTTAGCCAGATTGCAGAATATAAGATCAATAAGATAAAAATAAATCCATTGTGCCCTGGCCAGTTTGGCTCAGCGGTTAGAGCGTCGGCCTGCGGTCCGGAGAGACCCGGGTTCGGTTCCCGCTAAGGGCACGTACTTCGGTTGCAGTTTGTCCCCGGCCCTGGTTGGTCGTGCGGGTGGCAGCCACTTGATGTGTCCCTTCACATCGATGTTTCTCTCTCTCTTCCTTCCTCTCTTTCCCTCCCACTCTATCTGTACAAAAAATGGAAAAATATCCTCGGGTGAGGATTAAAAAAATAAATAAATAAATAAATCCATTGTGTTTCTATATTCTAGCAATGAGTAATCTGAAATAAAATTAAGAAAACAATTCCATTCACAATATCATAAAAAATAAAATAAAATATTTAGGAATAAATTTAACAAGTGCAAGCTTACACTCTGAAAACTACAAACCATTGATGGGAGACATTAAAGATTTCTAAATAAATAGTAAGATATCCCACATATGTTAACTTAAATGTGGGTAAAAGATGGAATAGACATTTCACCAAAGAGATAAGAGTGGCCAATGAGCATATGAAAAGATGTTCAACATCATCAGTCATTTGGAAAATGCACATTAATATCATAATGAAATATCACTTCATACCTATTAGAATAGTTGTAATAAAAAAGATGGATAATTCTAAGTGTTGACAAGGAAGCAGATAAACTAGAACCTTCACATATTGCTGGTGAGTATGTAAAAATGGTACAGCCACGTGGGTAAACACTGGCATTTTCTTTAAAAATTAAACATAAACTTAACATATTAACCAGCAAATCCACTCATAGGTATAATAAACCCACAATAAATGAAAACATATGTCTATACAAAAATATTTATACAAATATTCACAGTACATCATTTATATTATCAAAAATAAATAAATACATAATCCAATAGTCTAACAACTGGTAATTGGATAAACAGACTGTGACACATCCATACAATGGAATACTAATAACCAATAAAAAGGAACTACTGCTACAAACTACAACATGGATGACCCTTGAAAACATGCTAAGCAAAAGAAGCCAGATGTAAAAGACTACATATTATATGACTGTGTTTGTATGAAATGTCCAGAAAAGGCAGAGGCAGGTTAGAAATTGTGTGGGGCTGTAATGCAGGTTGATTGCAAACAGGTACAAGGGAACTTTTGTGACAGAAATGTTCTAAAACCGAATTGTGGTAATAACTGCACAACTCTGTAAACTTATTAAAAATAACTGTGCACTTGAAATAGGTGAATTTTGTTATATAAACTATACTTCAATAAAGCTGTTTAAAAATCTCTGTAATGATATGCAAGAACAAGTAATATTGAGTGACTCTGGAAAAGAGAGCTGGGTGCCTGGAAAACAGGAGTGTGAAGGACACGCAATCAAATACTTTTACACATTTTTAATTATGTCCCACGGGACTGTATTATTAGTTTAAAAAGTGAGAATAAACAAAACAAAAACTTACAAAGAGTGTAGTAATAAAGGTCTAATGGCTCTGGTGGGTTCAACAGGAATAAAATATATATTAGCCCATAGAAATGTTTTAGCCACAGAAAGGAAGGTGAAAAATCTGCTCTGACAACATGCTCTCGCCGTCTTAAGTACAGCAGGCTTATTAGTTCAGAGACATGTTTAAAAATAGGATATTGACAAACTTAATAGACCCAGGAAAGCTGTCAACTTAGGAAAGGGGAGTAGAAAGCATGACCTGAGAGGAATGATTTAAAGAATGAAGACCAGAAAGAAAAAGAAAAAAACACATAAGGGAAGAGGGGACCACAAAAGTAGATTAGGCCTATTTTCTATGCCTTCTTAGTACTAAACTAGGAACAGAACCAGAACATCAATGCAGGCAGATTTGGGGTCTCTGTAAGTTATATCTTTGATAACTGCAGCCTTAGACAAATGGGAAGAGCTGCCCATGAACCGTGCGTAGTGGAGCTGTTGAAGCAGAGGATGGAGCACCTTGTGGTACAGATGAAGAAGTGTTAATGATGGCCCCTTCCAAGCCTGAGTCTGTGAACCTCTTGACCTTCCAAAGTACACACCCAGTTGTGGTATGCACCACTGGTGTGAAAGAACACACGTTTACATCTGATTAAATGAGAAGCTTTGGTGTGTTTCTACTTCTACGTCAAGTCTCTCTGATTAATTCCTGCCTAGAAAAAGGTTAATATTTAAAAATAGAGAATAGTCTAAAAATAAATTTCCTTTCAACAAAATATATTTAGTTAGCCCTCTAGAATGGTGAAAATAAAAAGGACTTACAAAAACAAGTGTTTTCAAGGATGTGGAGAAATTGGAACCCTCATACATTGTTGTGGGAAAGCAAAATCGTTGACAATACTTTAGATAACAGTCTAGTAGATCCTCAAATGGTTAAACATAGAGTTATATATGACCCAGCAGATATCCACTCCTAGGCATATGCACAAAAGAAAATGTATGTCCACACAAAAACTTGAACATAAATGTGCACAGAAGCTTTGTTAATGGTCAAAAAGTGAAAGAAATCCAAATGCCCATTAACTGACAGCTGGATAAATAAAATGTGGTATATTCATACAATGGAATGGTATTATTTGGTAATAAAATGGAATTAATACATGCTACAATGTAGGTGAATCTTGAAAACATTAAGTGAAAGAAGCCTGTCACTAAAGATCACATACTGTATGATTCCATTTATATATCTAGAATGAGAAAATCTAGACAGAAAGTAAATTAGTAACCACAGCTGGGGGATGGGGCAAAAGTGGGAGGTTGGGGTAAAATGAAGAATGACTGCTCATGTGTACAGGGTGTTTTTTGGGGGTGTCAAAAATGTTTTAAAATTAGAGTGATGGTGCACAACTCGATGTATACACTAAGACTCCTAA